AAGTAAAGAACGTCGGTACTTCCTGGGTACTTTCGTGGATTAAAATGGGTACATGTATCTTGACCAGAGAGAAATTTATTCAAAGCTGAACTGATCTGTTTATATTGCACTTAGATCGCTCAGTAGACTTTGGAATAATTGGTCAACCAAAGCATTTTTTGAAAGCTGGCAAACTACTGTTGTCGCTGGCAAAAAATATCAGCCACTACAGGCATCAGTTTCGGATGACTGTGTGTGATATCGTGGACTATCGGTTCAATGGTCCGAATTCGAACTGCAAATGAACACCTTCGGATTGGTTCCTGGCACCATCCTGGTAGTCGGTACATCTACCATTTCAGAAATGGTTGACCTAACTTTCTATATTTTGAAGTATATTTATTAAGTTGACCTAATTGGACAGCAGTTGTTTGATTCTAACATGACAAGGCTTCCAAAGACATACCTTCTGATTTGTGAGCCTCTCAATTGGCTTCGAGGAAAACTACTATTTAACTATTTTCGCTGTTTAGAAGATCAAGTTGAACTAGTTTATTTCCAGATGAGAATATTTACTGTAACTTTAAAAGTATACTGCAAAAATCTATGTTGCTAATAAGTGGTCGGCTAGTTCGATTGTCTGAAATGAACTTGAGGCGTAATCTTTAATTCCAGAAACCAGGCTGTAAATTTTACGGAACCCCCAGTGCTAATCATGAGGGTGAGGTTGTCGAATGCAGAAACAGTTAGTGGTCCATTGGGGAACCCACGTCGGCTTCAACATGGAGATTCCACATGACTACAATGGATGCGAGGATGCCACAAAATGTAGTCAAGTGTTATCAAATATGAGCGATTGGTGGTGTTTCTAGCTGACAGAATTGTTCACCAGTGAACAAAGTGAAGTGAGAGGACCATGCGTTGTATGTCTGGAATTCTAGATGTTGTGTAAACCCGAAGTGATACCATATTGGTTACCGAAGAATGGTTACTCAAAGAATGATCGCCCTATTCGGGTAGTATAGGTGCGTCGGCCCAACCGTCCAAACAGAGCTCAGTGCAAATCATGCTTATCGCAGTGTGCATGGGAACAAGGGTGACGTGCCTGTGAAAACGGCATTGCAAGGTCTAGTACAGTTGTGACTGATAGAAATGCATTACAGTAACGCTGTCCGAAAGGATTTTTGCGGATGAACAACAGGTAGCTTAGGATAATGAACTAGTAAGGCATATCGTGCAAGAGCCCACAAAACGGTTTGGTGAAATTGAAAATAACTCGACGGTTAAACTAAGCTACGGCACCACTTAACGACGGCAACCATAGACAGATTGAAGTGAAGACGGATAAGACGTCTGTTCAGCTGTAGGACCCTTTTGGTGCCCAACTGCCATGCCACCCGAAAGAAGAAGGGCTGGGATGCTGCCAGGTTGCCCAAGCCTAGACAGGGGAAATCGAAATATGAAGAGGTTGAGTTCGGCCTTCAGGTCAGTACAACCACTGAGCCATCTCGCCCCCGTCTGTTAGGACAAATTCAAGACCTTGCACTTTCATGTGATGCGTTTTTCATATCAATTCTGTTGCTTGATGAATACGACAGAAGCAAAAATACGCCTATTCCGACGCTTATATGTTATCCAAAGGCTAAATGAAACTTTGAGAAAGACTTGTATGTATGATATAACTTCGTAAACCATATTGATAGGTGCTTGAGGAAGCACGCATTTCATCCGCTGCATGGGCAAGGCATTGCACGTTTTGCAAAAAGGTTACTTCGTTTTAATCAACTTTCCCAAAGTTCTCAACCTATGAATGACAGCGAAAACCTCGATGGTGATGAATACACATATTTCCAGGTTGGTTCAAAGTACTGCAGGAAAAATCACCTGAATACCATACTCCTGGCGACCAGTATTTTCACAATTACCTACTGAATCCAGGCCTTGGTAATCTAATATTCAAATTCCTCCTTTAAGTTTTTTTAAACAACGTTACATTATTTCCTTCTAGAACAGTAAGGCAATTTTTCGAAAGGACATTTCGTCGCTTTACAGAGTCGGATTTTTTCTATTCATTCCTGTGTTCAATGTGGACACCATTGTAGCCCGACTAATATATTCATTTCGATTAGGGAAAACGAAACATTGTCTATTTTGTTTATGGCCTAATAGATGAACAGGCACAGACTGAATTCCAACTGACTAGACACCAAGCGCACTGTCTCAAGAGCAAAGTCCCAAGTCCAATTACTAAATAAAGTAGGCTGGAAAACTTATCCGACAGAAGCAATAGTCACTCACAAATATAGCAGCAGTTCGGTGATAAATTTCAAACCAGACAATTTGGAGTCAACCCCCCACCCCATCTATTGACAGTAGAGTTGATTCTCATGTGACAATAGTTATGTGAAGCGGCTTGACTAATGAGTATCCAGATTAAGTGATGGGACTAAGCGAAGTGTGTCCCCATCTGTGGTTTTATTCCGGATAATCAATGTGATGTGTGCGTGTTTGCAGTCACGACAGACTTTCAGCTGGTCTCTCGGCCAATTCTTAGCCCCAAACACACTAACATAATCGATACGTACGTTTGCCCACAGAAGACTGAGAAAATGGAGCACACCTTCCACACAATTGAGACAGCAGGAGGTTAGGAACCTAGACAACGTGTGGTAGAAAAAAATTTGTCGTCGACCCCTAGTTTGGTTATGAATGAATGTGAACAAGTCAAGGCACGACTAACCATGCGTGGTGGTTATTTGTTCAATTTGCCAGATAAACGAAGCGATATATACCAACTGGTGTTCAGTAGGTCAACATCACGCGCGAGTAAAATGTGAATTGGTGCCCAAAAGTTGTGGCCATACTGGCATTTCGCGAACAGTATAAGGTGTGAAAAGGTCTCGACAGTAAATAAAGCCAGTATAGGCAGTGAGAGGTATGCTTGAGGATGCCTGAATCAATAAGTGGTCAGTTTATCCTGACGGACAGAGTTTTCTAAGAGAACAAAGATCATGAATGTCAGTAAGACGTTGTATAGCACAACATTCAACAATAACACTCGGTGCTGCCATGCCACCCGAAAGAAGCACAAGGGGTGGGATACTGCCAGGTTGCCCAAGCGTAGACAGGCGAAGTCGAAATGCAGAGGTCGGGTTCGAACCACGGACCTTCCGGTCAGTAAATTCGCGCTCCAACCACTGAGCCATCCCACCCTCTAGCATAGGAGACACAGAAAAGTACAGTAAACTGTCATTCTTTTGGGTCTGAGGCTTCCAGCGGTTGTCAGCTGCGAAGGATTGACAACTTGGAATGGTACTGACACGCAATTCAGGCCACTTCGTCAGTCATGAGACAGATGTAGCAACAACTGACAAAAGTATCGATCGTGCAGGCTACGATTTTTGTATTGGTGCGCTCGGGTCGTATTGTCCGGCGACAGCGTTACGGAAAAAGGGGAAAAGGAGCCTAAAGTACCAGTTGTCTGGTGGATACAGTTGGATTTTCAGACCATCCTAATAAGCGAAGCGACCAACAAAGAGCCTTAGGATAATAGGAATATGTCTGGATGCTCTTTCGCCGCAAAGCCCGACCAAACAGGAAGTCATCGATGATATTTCTACCCGCACGAGTGGAAATGCACTCCGAGAGAATGTATGCGCCCATCTTGAATCATTTTCCTTCCTGAAAACCAATGCAACAGACTGACAGCTGGTCACGTAGATACAAGGACCTGACAACCGACAACGCCAACATCCGTGCTCCATGTGCAGTAGACAACGCACAGCTACACGGAACAGTAGGAAGTGTCAGGTCCCTGCATGTACAGACTAACGAACATAAATCGGCACACTTATTGCGAAACAGAACTGCAGGAAAAGAACCTTGAACGACAACCCTCTTCAACGTTTGGTAGTAAACACGAATTCCGTGTGAACGAACATGATAGCCGTTGGCGTCCAATAACACCCAAATCGGAACCTGTTCCCGGTGAAATTAATGGTAGCCGTGTGCACTGTTCAAACAAACGGTTCTTATATGTCTAAAAGCTAAAACCCTTGATTACGAGATGCTATTTTCTTTCGAACATAGTTTTTTATTAACATGTAAGATGTCAACATAATATCCGAACCCCAAAATCAAACTTGAACTTCATCGGAGCGTCATAAGCGATAGTGATCTGCGGCCTCTACTTATTACAACGATGCATCTATGGCGCACACAATAATGCAAGTTCGGTTGGTTCTTACTTGGTCCGAGTGCTTCACAAAATCGTCTATCGGTAGTTACCATCCCGGCTTTTTTCATTGCACCTGGCAAGCCCCACGATGGACCATAACAAATTAGAAAAAAAAGCCATGTACTAGCTGGTGCGACGGACCGGATCACAAGTGGCTGATGCAACCACACCATAGAGACACAGGGACATGGTGTAAACGCATATCCGCATCGAAGACCTGAAAACCGGTTACCGGTGTCCGTCAAGTAAGTCTACCTGAATATTTTTCGTGGACCTAAGGTTGATTATAGGCATGACTTAAGCTCACGGTAAGACGCGAAACCACGGGTCAGAAGGTCCGTGGTTCGGACTTGACACTTCTCCTGTCTGGCAGTATCTCAGCCATTGTGCTTCCTACCAGTTGCACGACAGTATCTGTAGGGAACCACAGCTGATTATTACTGGTGTTTGGTAATACGTTAAATACGGGTGGCAGCTTTGTGCGAATATTAGTAAAACTGATGTCTCAAACGACTCCTGTCAACCAGAGCCCGATACAGTCTTTTTCTCCGTGTCAGTAGCCATGCCAGCTGAGAAAAACAGTTCATGCAGGTAGTTAGCCAGTGTTGCGGCCGCAAAAACCTGCATACTTAGATCCTCTTAGGTGAAGTGGTTGCACCAACTGACAGAAGATATATTGCTATTCCAGCTAAAACAGTAGCCGACTACAGGAAAGCGCAATTGAAGACAGTCGAGCATAGATTAGCCTCGAAACCGATGCTCAGGTCGGTCCGAAGCTACTTACCGGTTTCACGTGTAATGAAGGTCCCTGAGCTGGAGATGCACACCTTATATTAGACAGGGTATCCAGAGTAGCGATAGTATCCACCATAATATGAGTTCGCATAGGATCCGAATGAGCGGCAGACGTTGCAAATCCATTTGGAAGTCTAGAGCATTCCGTAGCAGTCCGCACCTCAGAAGCAACCTTGTGAGTTTGGCTAGTCCTTCGGATGGTCATTTTCAGAGGATGTATCTTCCGATTGGGTTCACCATTAGCCTGTTGAGAGGCACTCAAACGTTTAGTTTTCGTCTTTTTACGCAATTTTGTATGTAACATGGAACGACTGTGCGTCCTATTTGTGGTAGCGCTTGAATCAGACACACTGATGGTTCGCGATGCACTTTGACCACAAGGTATATTATGTCTTGTATTATCAGTCATTATTCTATTCTGTATAGGTGGCTGTATTCGAGAAAGGACGGGTGAAATGCCAACGAGCTTTGGGGACATGGTGGTAGCAAATACACCTGGAGGGTTGACAGTTGCTGTTGTTTCAGCCAGTGGAGGAGCCCGTGGTACGGTTCCAGAAACGAAGGCCGTAACACCATCCATGTAAATTCCAGGTGAGAGGGCCGTGGCGGTCGGCCCACGCTGGCGCATTGCACGCGGTCGATACAGTATCCCAACCCAACAATTAGCACACTGATATGCATTAACTCCGGAGCCGTCTTCGCAAGGCGCGGTCGAGCTTCGCCGTGTTGATTGATCCAACGTACGGGTCCAGGCCTGTCGCACGAAGGCGACGCAACTAAGCCAGCAGATGCAAGAGTGTGTGCTACACACACTAGCGATAGGTAGACACCACACGGCTGTCTGCTTACAAACTTCGCAACTCTCAACGTGGCCAAACGGCGTGGACCGTCGTTTATTGTTCCACACCCATTGGCTCAGTGGGCTGGGGTGTGATTGGGTCAAGCTGGACAAGGAAACAAAGCCATGTTTGTGTGTCTGTATGCAAGTATGTACGGCGCACGTATAGCCGTCCGCGGACAAAGTCGTGGGGATGACAGGCAAGCTCTGGTGGCTTGACATGAGAGATCGTTGACATTTTACGCTTTGGGTGAGACGTCCCGCAAAATTTTTCAATTTAGGGCTCTTTCATCCTGGCAACTTCTCTGCATTTCATCATCATGTTGGTGGAGCTCGTTGCGTAGTATGATTAAGCGGCACCATCGGACTTGGCGAACACGCGTAACAGCATCATGTCGCGATATATCGATTCCATTGTGTGGGACAGTTCATCTTGTCTGGTTGGGTCAAATTGCACACGATTTCGTAATAATCATGTAACACCTGCTGACGTTAGAGTTACGGTGACAGGGCTAATGAGCGTATGCTGATGGCTTGAAGGAAATAGCCTTTTTCGTCTCGCCCAATAATTGAGAGGAAATGAACATAAAATCGATAACACAATTCCTGTCACCGTCCCTATTATTTTGCACAACCTAGACTACATTGTGACTCACTCTTGGGGTGTGTCCCTTTCATTCGAGTGACTTCCACGTTTTGCTTCAAACTGGTTTACGCTATCTCAGTTTGCAAGCGTGAGTCCAACTCAAGCCCTAGCAACTGTAACCTCCTTTCCATGAACTCCTGTTTGTCCAGGGTTCTTTGCTACCTGGAAAGTTAGTGCATGCTCTAAAGAACGATGCCCTATTAGATGACTACTAATAAATGGACCCCTTTTAAGAGACCAGGTGGCATATATGTCATTACGTCCGCGTTGGACAATTTCTGTTGATCGAAAGTGATATCCTTAGGCCTTGTGGCATGCTGTCCTATCCAAACTCCCAGTGGATGGACTGCCCCTATAGACTTTTTGGGTGGCCGAATAATATCCACACTTTTTCCTACGGTGCTACTGTCCACTCTTCTAGGTTTTATTCCTCCGCGGATTGGTCTCTCTTCAGATTCCAGCAACGCTCCATAAACGATGTCTTTGGCAACCCCCATCTTTCCTAAATTTATGATTGGGGTACTTTTAACGTGGCGACATCCAAACTTTTCAAATCCATCCATGTGTCTCCTACTTTGCCATTCATTTTGGACATCTCAGATATTATCAGCATAAACAAAGTTCGCCACTGCCTTTCCTCACTAGGCTTAAACTGTTCTGGAAAACACCTGAATAAGCGTATGCAAGAAAGTGCCTTTAGTTATCGCGCCCACGAGGACCTCAGTTCTCTCATTCTCGTGTTTCATGACTTGTAAATTCACTCCGCCCTGAAGCACTACTCTCATGTCAGATATGTGAAGCCATTCATCCATCTTCTACTCCTGGGCTCCATCCAAAGAATAATCAGCCAGCGCACTGATAATCTCCTTGCTGGGATGAGCGTCGTTTTTCCCATTTCATGGTTGCTGTTATGAAGAATATTCACGCGAGCATTCACCAACTGTATATGTGGGTCTAACTTATAAACTTTCGAGTCCCCTCTGTTCTTCCCGTCGTTTCTACCACGTTATAGCATTCAACAATGCAGCTGATTTCTTTGACTCCAAGGTCTTCACCCATTCTAGAGCTCCTGCCATCCACCCTACGTGGTATTTTCACCTTCTTATGATGCCCAACTTTTATTGCTAGGAAGGAATGTGCTCACCTGGGAGTCACTGTGACAGTTGTATATGCCTAACTACGATTCATTTCATTTGAGTGGTTTGACCATTGGACTATTCTTCCTCTGTAAACTCTTGAATGTGCAATGAAAGAATTCGGACCCGAACGTAATTCCTGGGGGAAACCATTAGTACGTTGTAGAAAAATTTTCACCTAGCCTATAAGTAGTATTTTGCATAAAGAATAATTGTCAAACAGTGGTGTCCCTCAAACATGTAGGACCACTCCAAATATACGCCAGTCGGGTATACAAATAAAAATAAAAATCTATGTAATCATGAGCAGCTGGACGAAACGTCCACTGATGCTTTCCATCCTCGTTTAACCCTAAAACTCCGGAGGTACTAAGTACATCTTCTACACTCCGCTAAAATTTTCCTTATTGGTACCGTTATCGATTACAGCGATACACTGATTCTCAGCTTCTGTGATTTTCGAATGTAAAGATCTAACAATGTAAACTTTTCCTTGTTCAGGAGCCCATCACAAGCTCTTTAGAATAAGATGCTCATCTCATTTTTTGAAATTTGAAGTTAAATGCTTGAAGGATGGTAATAGACCTTGTTGTAATAGTTCACTTTAGCGAAACGGTAAAGCTCTAAAAATGGTACGGTGTGTGAAGACTGGCCCAAAACTCCTTCTTTAAGATAGAGAAATCGAAGTAAGGTAGAATGGCTTTTTTTAGCAACCTTTTAAAAGTTCAGTAATCACCACTTAGTAGAATGATGCCCCTGAAACACGAAGTTGGTCTATCATCATGAATAAGAGACACACTCGGACATCACACAACTGTCATTGCATAATGTATGCGTTCACTGTGCCGAAATTATAGGCCATAACCTGACATAGGCCTTGTGAACAGCCTAATGACGTCACACGAATTAGGTAACGCGTTGCCCGTGGATACGCGCGCGGCGGTGACACGTTTCCCTTTGTAATTACATTTCATGGTCTGTTAAGGTTGATTGACTTGGAGAAAAGACACCTTACCCGTTCGTGCTCCATAGCGACTGAATTGACTTTCACTCCGTCAACCTGTACTAGGTAATGACGGACCTCAATTATCGACGCATTTTCTTGCCTCACAACCTCCGATTATTGCGACTGAAGGATAAGTAGTACCATATCTTGTTCAGTTGTGAGGCGACCATGCTGCTTATCCACTGCTTGTGGGCGAACAGCTTAGTGTTCAATGACTAACAAGATGTTGATTTCGAATCAACCTGGAGGTTCGTAAAGTGCACACCAAGAAGGATGAAACGGGCATCGATGAAGGATGTCGAACGTTAAATTACTGCTATCAAATCGGTCTATACAACGGATAAATAGCTTAATGTATCGACGTTAGTCAGGCTGAAGCGCTAACACAAATCGCTGGTCCAGTTCGCCGTTGGGCGGTCAGGGCTGAAATTTTCTATGCGTTGGGCGCTCAGTCCACCTTGATCTGAGGCGGTCGGTCGACTGCCACTTCCCCATCACTGGTCGATATGTTTGCCGATGTGGCCCACATGTGTCGGGACCATCAAGTTACTAGGTTGAGCTCACAAGCCCTGGAAATAAAGGGCCAAATAGTACCGCCATTGCGCCGTCAATTTGTGTGATCTGCCCAAGTGGACTGAACAGCTGATTTGATGAGGCATTCGTGTCCAAGGCGGTAGCAACCACCGAGATCAGTACTTGCAATACAACCGAAGGCCTGCCGTACTTTCGCTACTTTCCTCCGAAAGTTCGGTTCAGTTCACAGAAGCAGGAGCTAACGTATCCGAACGACGATTCTTGTGTGTGGAGCTTACACTCTATCATTTTCGCTACCCAATCGTAAACAAGCTTTGGGGCAGGCGGTGTTGTGGCAAGTTAATTAACCGATGATGTCCAACATGATTCGGGTAACTACAGAAATTTTTCAGGAGAAACAGGTGAGTGCAGATAGATTTACACTCGTATTTGTGTTGTATCGTGGGTGGCCGTCTATTGGTTACCCCTGCACTAAGCCTACCAGACTACGCGATAAGGAGAAGACAGAGAACTCGGGAAACGGCTGTATTGCGCGCTTTTGCGCAAATGGCCAAATATGACCGTTCACTTGTTCGCTCTGTACAGCCAATGGCGGTGTTCCTGTCGTGAATAATTTCAGCCCCACTTTACTGTTCTTATGTTGCTAAGCCGTGTTTGGTGAGCTCAGCCAACGCACCTGCCTTCCGAACGTGTCGTACCGGTGGTGACCTTGGGAATGCTCACTGTCTGCACATGTATTTTTTCAATGTCTGGGCGCGTCCTGACAATTTTAAACGATTTTAAACCGTTTAAGCTAAAGTCAAAGAGCAGTCTGCTTTAGTGCTAAGTACAGCCTAACCCCTGTTGGGGAGCCGTAGATTTTATTGCCGTCCTTGTGGCACACATTTTCGATCGGGTCAAGATCAAACTGCGAACAGGAGTCCTTAATAATTTGTTGCACTTGTTGTATCGAGAAGCATGGAATCCAGTGTTTTCATGTTCCAATATCATCGCCCATAGAATCCTGCCTCCTTATGGTAACGGGGTACCAAGAATCAGTTCGTTTCACGGCATGCTGATCCTTATATTCTATCCCCTATTATCAATCCAGTCATTCCGTGGACAATCTGGTACAACGCGTTAATGGTTATTAATTTTATAGAGATCGATTTTCTCTGTACGATTATCTTATCAGCTGCAGTTTCATGCGTCCGCTCCATCAATTTGTACTTTTTCACAGCCAACGAACTCAGTTGGTGAGGTTTACTACGGTCGAACTATTTTTTTATGTAATCCGAAGCAGTATGGCCTCAATACGCCTTTTCATTTGTTTCCCCCACCCCAAACCTTGTCCATGTGAACCTACTTCGTTCTCGTTTCGTAAACACGCCACTATCAAACCTTGCTGTCAAATCGGACATTCACTATCTGCCAAAAAAACACGTAGGCTTTCACTCACTGGTACGTACAGGGTTGGATAAAATGCATCTGGATTGTTTGGAACCGATACATTACCATACACATTACTTGACATTTCAACCGAAAACCTACTACAATTGTATCATGCTAAACAGTGTGCATTTAC